TTGAGATCGGACTGCAGCCCGGCCTGCTGACCGTCGTCAGTAGGAAGGAAGTCCGCTCTCTGGACGAATCGCGGACACGAGCGAATCGCCATCAGGCAAAACCGCCAAATAAAGCTGTAGCACCGGGAATCGCCACTGAGCCGTTTTCTGGCGCCACGGCGACCCCTGCGGCGAAGAATTGTCGGGACTGCAGCTCGGAGACCGGGCTGCGGATCGGCTTTGGAAGCGTTTTGACTTCTGACTTGGACTTCGTCATTGCCCGAGGCTCCCGCTCTGCCCACCACCACCGTGGACCCGCGGTGCGGCCGACCAACCGCGGACCCGCGCAAGTTCTCAAGGCCGGAGCCAACCCTGGAGGGCGCGAGTGAGAAGCCCTCAGGCGGGCCGGCTCTGAGCCCTGACCGCGGTACAGGCGCTCCCCAGGGATGTGGTATCAGCGCCTCGACGGGAGAAATAATGGCGAAAGACCCCCGGAGACAGCGACGCACTGGAGCCCAGGACCGTGCTGTCCGAGTACGGTGGGCACAATAAAAGGAACGCAGCCGCGACGGATTTTCGGTCCTGGAAACCCTGCCTTTGCCCTCTTTCCGGCGGCCGGGAACGAACTTCAGGGGACCCTTGCCTGGTGGGAAACGTGCATTTCGACGGCATCCGTACGAAATCCGCTAACAGACAACGGACGAATTTCCAGCGTTTAGAAACGACGTAGAGCTGCACGTAGACGAACCGAAAACGAACCGCAGACCCGGTGTCCTGACCGCATCTGGTGCAACTCGGTGTCAGGCTTTTCTCGCGGCGTTTTCCTCACGTCCTACGGTTCGTGTTTCGTCGTACGAGGTTATGGTGAAATCCTGCCGCAGTCGGCTTGGCAGAGCCTGATTAAGGCCGCTATAGGAAAGAACGAGGCAGAAAACCGCGGGCCCGGATTGAAATCGCGGTCCGGGTCTTCTAACCGCGCATCGAATCGGCTGGAAGGGCGAATCCCGGGCACGCGCGGATGAACGAACGACAAAACCGCAGGATCTGGCTCTGTGCGCCTGGAATCGCGGCCAGGCCGAATTCCAGCGCCACAGCGACCCCTGGAGTGGAGAAGTGTCCGCTGGGAGACGGAGGTGCAGGTCAGTGTCCCATGAGTTTTGGCTTCAGGTTTGAATTTTCTTGGCCCCGGCTCCGGCTCTGCTCACCCACCCCCGTGGACTCGGGGCCCGCGGACGAACCGACAACTGGAGCAGGTTCGCGGGGCCGCTCACAATCTCGGAGAACGCCAGTGAGAATCCTCAAGCCTGCCGGGTCCGGAGTCTTTCCCGCCTTACCAGGGCTCCTGGGGCCACAGCCGCCTCGCTAACCTAAAAGGTCGGCGACACTGGGTCTGCGAGCGCAGTACTCGAGCCCTGGACCGTGCTGTTCCCGACAACTGTCAGCTCCACAGAAGGGACGCAGGCGCGACGAAGATTCCGCGGTGCGAACACCGCATTTGTCTCCCCCAGGCGGCCGGTTCGGATGTCTTGGGAGACTTGACCGACTTCGGTGGGCACTGAATCCGCTAAGGTTGGAAAGCCCAGGAAGTATGGCGTTCAGAAAGGCCTCGGCCCTTTCCTATAAGGACTGCGATCTGGTTCTGCCAGGCTGGCTGCAGCCGGATTCGACCCCAACCACGAACAGGACGACCAGAGGACAAGGACACAAGAAACGTTTGTCGCCCGGTACAAGTGGTGCTTCCGATGTGTTCGGAACCCTGAGGTTTCTGTTCGTTTTCGCGTCCTCTGCGCTCCATCCTCCGTTGTTTCCAATCGCTGAAACTTGGATTTATTTTTTCTAACGTTATCGGATTCAGTGCCGACTGCCATCGGCCAAGACACGTTTTCTCCGGACAAGTGTCCCAAGACATCCCTGCCCGACTAACTGGAACACCACAAGTTCGGTGTTTTCACGACCTTATCTCCGTCTCCGTTGCCTTCCCTTGGTTCCTCTGATGGTTTTCAGGGACAGCAGGGTCCAGGGCTCGAGTGCGGCGCTGTCTCCTGTGGCCTTTGTCCTTTCGCCTTCTCTTCTCCGTTCTCAGCGCGGTTACGACTTTTGTACAGCGGGAAAGACGCCGGACCGCGCCGGCGTGATGGATTCTCACTCTCACCCTCCGGGGTTGTGACCCGCCTGGAGATCTGTGCCAGTCGGTGCTTAGTTTTCGGGCCCTCAGGTCCACGGTGGTGGGTGGGCTCAGCCAATGAAGAAGTGCGAGCCAGAAGCAGAAATGCTTTGATACCAGTCTGCAGCTCTGTCTCCCAGCAGAAGGCCGACTTGTTCATGGCAGTGGTCCTTGTGGCGCCCGCACTCATCCGCGTGACGATTTCATTGCTTTGGAGTTACTGGATCCGCTTTTAGCGAGCCTGTGTCCGTGACTCGACCTTCCGAGTCGATGTCCCACGATAGACGATGTCGTGCAATGGACCTTTTCAGCTGGACAAATTTACTAATTCGTCCGGCCCCGCCTCCCCGGAAGACTACAAATACGCAGGGCGGGAGCTTGCAGAAGTCTCCGCCGCCTGCACCAGGGCACAGGCTGCTGTTTGCACTGAGAACGGAGACAGGATGGCGAAGGACAAAGGAACAGGAGACACTGCCACACTCGAGCCCTGAACTGCGCTCCAGCCCTGAACGGTCCTGGAGAACATGAGTCATCCTGCACTTGACCGTCGTGTACACTTGACCGTGCTCGAGCCCTGGGCGGTGCTGCACCCGAAAACCTTGAGAAAACGAAAGGAAAGCAGAGACTACGGAGATTCAGTCGTACATCCACCGAATTGGTCCTCTTTCAGGAAGCCGGGGTCGGATGCCTTGGGACACTTGCATGGCGGAAAACGTGCGTTTCGACCGCATCTGTATGAAGTCGCCTAACAACAGACAAGGGACGAATTTCCAGCGGTTAGAAACGACGGCCAGCGGAACGAAGAGGACCCGAAAACGAATGGAAACCGCGGCTTCCTGATCGTACCCCGGACCTGAAATGCACCTCAGGGCCCGCGGACTAACCGCGGACAGGCTTGCCGGTCACAGCCCCGGAGGGTGAGAGTGAGAAGCCGTCACACCGGCGCGGTCAGGCATCTTTCCCGCGGTACAAAAGCCATAGCCGCACTGCGAACAGAGAAAAGAAAGCGAAAGGGCGAAGGCCACAGGAGACAGCGCCGCACTCGAGCCCTGGACCCGGAAAACCGTCAGAGCAACCAAGAGAAGTCAGCGTCGACGTAGATACAGTCCTGAAAAAACCGAACCTGTGGTCATCCAGTCAGTCGGGCACGGATGTCTTGGGACACTTGTCCGGAGAAACGTGCCTTGGCCCATGGCAGTGGGCACTGAATCTGCCAATGTGCCAGATAACGTTAGCGCTAAAAATAATAACGCTAAAAAAAAAAAAAATCGAAGTTTCAGCGTTTAGCAAAAAACGGAGGATGGAGCGCAGAGGACGCGAAAAAAGAATCTAAACCGCGGTGTCCTGACCGCATTGGGTGCACCACTTGCACTGGGGCCCCAAACGTTTCTTGTGTCCTTGTCCTCCTGTCGTCCTGTGCGTGGTTGGGGTCGAATCCCGCTGCAGTCAGCCTGGCAGAACCGGGTTGCAGTCGCTATTAGGAAAGGACCGAGGCCTTTCTGAACCCGAAACTTACTCCGGTTTCTTTCCTTAGTGAATTCAGTGCCCACTGAAACCGGGTAAGACACGTTCACACTCAGCAAGTGTCCCATGACACCCGATCCCGCCGCCTGGAGGAGGACAAACGCGCTGTTTGCACCGCGGAATCTTCGGGGACAACTCGGTACAGGGCGGGAGTATGGTGCGCGCCTAATCCCTATGGCCCTCCAGTTAAGCCCCAGGCCAGACGCTGGACCCCGCAGGCCTGAGGGCTTCTCACTCACACCCTCCAGGGTTGGGTCGGGCCTTGAGAACCTGCGCCTGTCGCCGATTTGTCCGCCGCCGGGGTCCAAGGTGGTGGTGGGCACAGCGGGAGCGGCAGGCAATAAAGTCCCAGCCAGAACCCAAAAACGCTTCCAAAGCCAATCCGCAGCACCACGTCTGAGCTGCAGTCCCGACTCTTAGCCAGAGCGGTCCCTGAGGAGCCAGGAGTCCGCCCAGTGGCGATTCCCGGTGCCCAACGCCAGGTCATGCGGTTTTGCGGGATGGTGATCCGCGCCTGCCAGCGATTCGTCCAGTCAGCCGACCTCCGATCAACGGTCAGCAGGCCGGGCTGTCCGACCGCGATCTCAAACCGCGTCCGTGATTTTCAGCCTCGGTCCTTTCGTGTTGCAGACGGAATCCGGCTCGGCCAGGCAGGAAGTGAAGACGTTCTGCTGGAACCACGAACCCGATGGCATAAGGGAGACCCTGGAGGAAACTTTGGCGCCTTGGTGCGAGTGTGCACGCGACACGGTCAGGGTGCGGCGGTTTCCGTTCATTTTCGCGTCCTCTACCCTCCATTCTCTGTTGTTTCTAAACGCTGAAACTTGGAATTTTTTTAATTTTTATTTATGTATTTGTTTTTACGTTAGGGGATCGGGCAAGGCACGTTTTCTCCGGACAAGTGTTTCAAGACATCCGAGCCCGACCGACTGGATGACCACTAGTCCGGTGTTTTCACGACCGAATCTCGGCTGCCTTCCTTTAGTTGCGCTGATGGTTTTCAGGGACAGGAAGATCCAGGTCTCCAGTGCGCCGCTGTCTCCTATGGCCTTTGCTCTCTGGCCTTCTTTTCTCTCTTCACAGCGCGGCCACGGCTTTTGTTCCGCGGGAAAGACCCCGGGCCTCACCGGTGTGAAGGCTTCTCACTCTCACCCACCGAGGTTGTGACCGGCCTTGAAAGTCTGCGCCAGGCCGTGGTTAGTCCGCGGGCCCTGAGGTGCATTTCGGGTCCCAAATACGGTCAGGATGCCGCGGTTTCCATTCGTTTTCGGGTCGTCTTCGTTCAGTTCGCCTTCGTTATTAGGCGCTGGAAATTGGTCCGATTTCTGTCTGTAGGGAATTTCATTCCACCGAGCAAGTGTCCCAAGACATCCGACCCCGGCTTCCTGAAAGAGGACAAATTCGGTGGATGGCCGACCGAATATCCATAGTCTCTGCTTTCGTTTCCTTTTGTCAACGATTTTCGGGTACTGCACGGCCCAGGACTCAGGCGCCATCAAGTACTCTAGTGTTTGAACACGACCAAGTGCTAGATAATGGTCCAGGGTTGGAACACGACCAAGTGCTCCGTGATGGTACAGGTCTCAAGTGAGCCACTGATTGCTATTCCTTTGCCCTCTCTCCATCCGAACAAAACGCCGGACACCGAGGGTGTGGCTTGGCTTCAAGCGGCTCCAGCGCACTCCAGTGTTCGTTGACAGCCAAGTCCTCCAATATGGTCCAGTGCTGGATGAAGATCAAGTGTCAATGACAGCCCTTTCGTGGTCCTTTCTCCGTTCTAGGTGCGGAGACTTTCCAGGACGGCAAGATGCCCGACGCTGCAGGCGTGAGGGCTTCTCACTCACACCTTATGGGCTTGTGACCCGCCTGGAGAGTCTGCCCCAGTCGGCGGTGAGGCCGACCAAGTGCTCTATGATGGTCAAGCGCTCCATGACAGTCCAATGCTCAACTCAATGCCTGTCTAGTGCTCGATGACAGTCAAATGCTCGATAAAGGTCAAGTGCTCGCTGATGGTCCAGAGCTCGATGAAGGTTCATGGGATTTTTGTTCTGATGCCGTCGAAATGCGCGTTTTCCGCGGGGCAAATCTCCCAGGACATCCGACCCCGACCACCTGAAAGAGAACGAATTCGGCGGTTACTCGACCGAATCTCCTTCGCGTCCGAGTTCCTTTTATTGCGTCGACGGTTTCCGTGGACAGCGTGGTCCAGAGCACGATGGAGTCGCTGTCTCCAAGGGCCTTCGCTCTCCAGTCCTCCTGTCTCTGCTCCCGGCATGGCTACCTCCCTGGCCAGTGCTGGTACCTGCTGGCAAGATGCAGGACTCCCCCTGTCTGAAGGCTTCTCACTGGCACTCTCCGCTCTTTGGCGGGGAGTTTCATCTGGGCCAGTCCGGGGTTAACACCTAGGTTCCACCCTGGTGGGTGGGTACAGCCGGACTGGGACCAATGAAGAAGTCCCTGAAAGAAGCCAAACCGCTTTTCAGGCCAATCCGCAGCTCCGACTCTGGCTGCAGACCTGAGGCTTCTTCCCCATCAGGGGTCACTGTGGTGCTGTGTTCTCCTTCCCAGCGATTGCCATGGCACAAAGTCAGAGCTCTGGAGCTTCTGGACCAGTGTTCAGTTCGCATCTGTGATTAGTCCTCTGAGTCGAGTTCAGTCAGATAGGCTGCCTGCAAGCTTGGGAGAGGGTCTTTTTGTGGCGCCCAAAGATATTTCTCTGGTGGGGCGCTGTTTGGGGTGCCTTCTCTATGTCCTTCCCCTCAAGGGCCGGGCTAATGCCTAGGAGAGTTTCCATACAACACACAAAACTCTGGATTACCTGGCCTGAGGGCTTTTCTCTCACAACCTGTGGATTTTGGTCTGGCCTTGGGATCCAGGGCAAGACCAGTTTTTCAGCCAGTCCGTTTTTCCCACTGTTGGGAGGGATCAGTGGGATCCTGGGACCTTGAGGAAGTAGATATCAGAAAGTGACATGGTCCAGATGGAGATCCTTACTTAACTCAGCCTCTGAGCTCCAGGAAGTTCCTTGATTCACTGCAATTTATTTGGCTTGGCTGTCAGTACTGTAGCACGGATCTTTAAAGGTCTTATTAATAAAATCAAATCCAGGGACAGGTATTGGGGTGAACGCTGGAAGACCAGAGAAGCAGAACAAGCTACAACTTCCTCACTCTGCAAATTCCTCAGCTGATCCTGTTTCCTCAAACTGGAAGCCTCTGAGTCCTCATCCAAATGGGTCTCAGCTGAACTGCTGTGGCTGAAAAGCCTAAAAGTTTAACCAGCCCTAGTTCCTGGTCCTCACAACTTAAATACCTTTCTGCTTTCTGCCATCACTTCCTGGGATTAATGGCTTGTGTCACCATGTCTGGCTGTTTCCAGTGTGGCCTTAAACTCACAGAGCTCCAGATGGATCTCTGCCTCCAGAAGGCTAGGATTAAAGGTGTGAGTACCACCATTTTCTGGCCTCTCTGTCTGTCTAGTGGCTGTCTGTTTTCTGACCCCAGAAAAAAATTTATTAGGGTGCACAATATTTTGGGGAACACAATATCACCACACAGTACCTCCTGGAGTATTTGGTGTTTTCAGCTCTGTAATTTATGAATGCTCTGTTAGGTTTCTATTTGCTTTTGTGACATTTAATGGTATAACACATGTAGTGCAGTAACTGGGTACTGTATCCAGTTTCTAGTAACATTTACATATTTGTTAGAATCTTTTTCCTTCTCTTTCCTCCTTGCAAACTCTCCCATCCCAGCCCTTTTTCAAATTCCTAGGTAATTTTTTCACTGATGGTTATTGCAGGAACATTTTTGAATTTACAGATATTACTGAATGTACCCTGAGTTATGGTTTTTAATGGTATGGCTTGCTTAACACTGTAACCCTTCTATTTGCCTTAACGTTTTTTTTTTTTTTTATATTTATTTATTATGTATACAGCATGTATGACTGCAGGCCAGAAGAGGGCACCAGATCTCATTACAGATGGTTGTGAGCCACTATGTCTTTGCTGGGAATTGAACTCAGGACCTCTGGAAGAGCAGTCAGTGCTCTTAACCTCTCCAGCCCTCCTTTACAGTTTTAACCTTGTAACTCTGGTAACACTGTCACAGTTCTCTATGCTTGATTACAATTTTAGTGCTATAACTCAAATAATGCTGCCTCTGGGTTGTATGTGTACTTACCTGGTTTTTTATCAGTGCTGCTGCTGTTGTTTTCAGTTTGCATTTTACCTCTCTCTGTGTTATCTCCATGGATGTCTGAATACCACTTGCATGCCCAACATTCTTGAGGGAAGAGAATCCACATACCCCAGTTATACTTAAATAATGATGTTGCCTTATTTCCAAATCTAAGTGATATAACCAAGGAAAGTATCCAGCAAAGAGAGATTGAGTAAAGAGTGTGTGGGGAACACACATGACAGTTTTATTTTCCTTCACCAGAAGAAAGACATCATCTGATCTGGAGAAAGATGCATGCACCTGGAGAGAATCACACCAAGTGGATGACCAAGTCTCCAGATAACAGATATCCAGTGTCTCTCATTGGTGGAGTCTAGATTTGGCAGATACATGAGACTGTTTTGCTCCTATCACATGAGAGTAGCTGGGTAAAATGTGTGAAGAAAAATTGGCTAATGATATCAGGGAGGTGTGAGAAGTAGGAGAGGATTGCAGTATTTGGAAATGGACTGAAAGAGGACTATGCAGTTGCAGGAAATTAATGTCAGGCAGCCCCATACCACCTAATAGAGAAAATGAACAAATGTGTCTCAGTTACTTTTCCATGACTGTGCTTAGAAACCACAATCAAAGCACTGTGAAAAGAAAGACGTTAGTTTGACTTATGGTTTCACAGGGTTAGAGTGCATGATGGCAGAGAGATGGACAGCTGAGAGAGTTCACATCTTGATCCACCACCAGAAGGCAGAGGGAGAGAGAGAGAGAGAGAGAGAGAGAGAGAGAGAGACAGACAGACAGACAGACAGACAGACAGACAGACAGACAGAGGTAGAGACAGACAAAGAGACAGAGGGCTTATAATGGAAATCCTTTGAAATCTCAACATCCATTCCTCCAAAAAGTTCACACCTCCTCATTTTTCAAAGGAGTTTCACCATCTAGGAAAGAAGCATTCAAACATGAGCCTTTGGGTTCCCCTTTATTAATAACATCACAGAATAAACGAATGAAACAAAGATCCAACTAATTTATATGTGACAATGTGTCCCATGATGAAAACTGAAATCAGGGTCCCTGGGCAGTGTGCAGACCACCACATCTGGGGTGCCTGGATCTCATGCCGCCATGCCATCTGCTGTGATGATGAATCTGTCCCCTTGAGATTCTGCTGGGATGGCATGAGACAGAAATCTTCTGCTCACATTGTTCAAACTTCTTTCCTGTAATCTGTCACAGGAAGCAGAGTGTTAGTTTTGCAGCCCAGAGATTTTTTGAAGGGAATCACAGGAGGTTCACTCTCTGTTCCCTGAACTCACCTTAGTTCCTCCAGAGCAGAACCCAGGAGTTCTCTTCAAGATGCCCTTCCTGAAGGACCAGCTGCAGCTCTGCCCCCAGCCCCCTTCCCTCACCTGAGCTTCTCTGACTTCTGCTTCTATGGATGACATTTCATGAGAGCTCAGAGTTCTCCATGGAAAATCACTGACCTCCAGCTTCCTTTAGGACCTGTTAGTGGACAGGTGATCTGCGCTCTCCCTTGCTGACACTTTAGACCTCTCTATTCCTGAGTGAGTTCAGATGATATTTCTTCCTAAGTTACTACACTCAAGGACACTATAGATCTTGGGACATCCCATTGATAGGTGAAACTACCCACTATTCATTTGCTTTAAGACACATTTTCTTCTTCACATCTCATGTGGGAGAGAAGGTAGTTATAAATGACCACTGAATAAATCAATAGATAAGAAAATAAAGTTTTGGAGATATAGTGGTGAACACATTTAATCCCAGAAGTCAGAGGGCAGAGGCATGTTGATCTCTGTGAGTTTATGGCCAGCCTACTCTACAAAGTGAGTTCCAGGATAACCAGGGATTTTTTTTCAACAGAGAAACCCTGTCTCAAAAAACAAAAAACAAACAAATACAAGCAACAAATTAAATGAGATAATAAAAGTTCCTAGGTTCTTTTTCACTTAGTGAAGACTTATAAACATTTATAAATTTGGGGAACCATGAAACCTTAAAATGAATTGAGCACAACATTAAAAGTTACACCATCTCTGAAGAGAAATAAAGGAGGAGCATGTGAGATATTTGGATACTTTAGGGAAAGTACTGTGTATTTACAAAAACTCTTCTTTTGCCAGATGGTGTTGGGGCTTGTCTTTAGTCCTAGCACTCAGGAGACACAGGTAGGTAGGTAGGTGGACTTCAACCTCTCCTTTTAAAATTGATTTTTTTAAATATTTACTTATTTATTATGTATATAGAAGAGGGCACCAGATCTCATTACAGATAGTTGTGAGCCACCATGTGGTTGCTGGGAATTGAACTCAGGACCTCTGGAAGAGCATTCGGTGCTCTTAACCTCTGAGCCATCTCTCCAGCCCAAAATTGATTGTTCTATCATAGTTTAAATGATATTTCCTTTTTAAATTTTCTATGGTAAAAAAACATTGTCTTTATTGAATATACCTAAAGGATATTAAAGTCATTTCATTAGAAGAAAGAAGAATAACTATTTGTTTCTTTTCTTTCTTTCTTTTTTTGTTTTTTTCTTTATGTTTTGGTTTTCAAGACAAGATTTCTCTGTTTAGCCCTGGCTGTCCTGGAACTCCCTAGACCAGGCTGACCCCAGTGCTGGGATGAAAGGTGTGTGGTACCACCTCCTTCCTTCCTTCCTTCCTTCCTTCCTTCCTTCCTTCCTTCCTTCCTTCCTTCCTTCTTTCCTCTCTCTCTCTTTCTTTCTTTCCTTCTTTCTTTTTTTTTAACTCAAGGAGGTTATACGTTTTAAAGAGATCCATTGGTTTACACTGTACATGTATGAGTGTTTTTCCTGCATGTATGTCTATGCACGTTGTGTGTCCCTAGTGCACACAGAGGCCAGAAGAGGGCTTCAGAAACCCCAGAAGGTGATGGGTCACCACTTGAATGCTTCGAAGTAAACCTGGGTCATCTGCAAAAGCAACATGTACTCTTAACCATGAGCCATCTCTCTCCAGATCCTCTAAGAGTATGTAAATTTACTTATTTATTTGATGTGTACTAGTGTTTTGCATGCATGTGTGTCTGTGTACCACATGTGTGCCTGGTACCTGCAGCTCTCAAAAGAGGGCTTCTGATCCCTTGGAACTCATCGAAGAGGATTCTCAATACACAAATAACATACATGGGATTTAACAATCAAGGGTGTGAGATACAGGATATGAAAATAGATGTTTATTGAATGTGTATATGTTAAATTTCCATTAATTAATTAATTAATTAATTTTATATGCAGTGTAATGTCTGCATGTATTCTTGCAGGCCAGAAGAGGGCACCAGATCTCATTACAAATATTTGTAAGCCACCATGTGGTTGCTGGGAATTGAACTCAGGACCTCTGGAAGAACAGCCAGTATTTTTAACTGCTGAGCCATCTCTCCAGCCCTAAATTTCCTTTCATTATGGTAATGGCAAAAGACTCAGTCACAGCCAATGGTAACATTCAGATCCTAGAGCATGTTCAGTGTGTAATTTTAGAGTCATTTCAAAGCCCAACTTGCTGCCTTTGGGGGGCTGTATTCAAGAACCAGCAATGCTGTTTGTTGTGTGCTTATTTTAGACACATGCTGTCAACATTTTCTATAAAGGACAAAATAAAACTGGGTTTTGTAGATGCAACCAACTGTCTTATTAAATAAGAAACACAGAACCAATGCAAAGAAGAAAACCAAGAGATCAGAGCTAAAAGCCTTACCCGTCTACTGCAGCTAGCCTCTTCAGCCAAGAGACCTACCTCCTATGTGTTTGTCTTTATATAGACTTTCTGTTCTGTCTTCTCATTGGTTGTAAACCCAACCACATGACCACCTCATCACTGCCTGTTTGTACAGACCTCCAGATCTTCTATGGTTGGTATTGAGATTAAAGGCGTGTGTCTCCAATGCTGGCTGTATCCTTGACCACACAGAGATCTACCTAGCTCTGCCTACCAAGTGCTGGGATTAAAGGCGTGCGCCACGAACACCCCACTCTGCTATGGCTTGCTATTAGCTCTGAACCCCAGGTAACTTTATTTATTAACATACAAATAAAATCACATTTCAGTACAAATAAAATATCACCATAGGGTTTAGTATAAAAGCATGAGTCTGTCTTAGTGAATGTATTTGTACATACCTTTGATTGTCAGCACTCTGAGTGCAGAGGACAGCCTGATCTACACAGTGAATTCCAGGATACCCTTTCTGTGGTTTTTTTTTTTTTTTGTTTGTTTGTTTCGAGACAGGGTTTCTCTGTGTAGCTTTTCGCCTTTCCTGGGACTCACTTGGTAGCCCAGGCTGGCCTCGAACTCAAAGAGATCTGCCTGGCTCTGCCTCCTGAGTGCTGGGATTAAAGGCGTGCGCCACCACTGCCCGGCTCCTTTCTGTGTTTGTATAGAAATTCTTAGGGTGAAGATGATTAAAAGTACTTTTAGATGAAAACCAAACATTTTCAGTCTAAATTACATCCTAAAATAGAGGATTGTTTCAAAAGAGAAAAAGAAAAAAGAAAAAGAAAAGGCTAGCACAGAACTTTTGACTCTGTTCCAAATTGTATCCAAAAATTAGGATTTGAAAGGAGGACCTGGTTAGGTTAGCAGGGCTGACCTGAGAACATTACAGGATATTATGTCCAGAGAATTTTCTGCAGCCTCTAGAGCACTCCAGGCCCCAATGGTCATCTCCAGACTAGTTCTGCATCTACAAGTGTGGTCTCAGGATGTCTCCATTGTTCAGGTGGAGAGTTCCATTCTCGAGATGCTCGTCCCTGCTCCAGTACACAGCATCTTGCATTAAGACATTTGCATTCAGCTGGGGATGGTGACTCCTGGCACCCTGTGCTGATCTGAAAATTGAGACAGCCACACTTTGAAGACAATGACTGTTCTTTGGACTTTATTGTGCTGATGTGTGAAGTTAAACTTGAAATCCAAAGGAAACAACTTGAATCAACACAATCAAAATTTACCCTGCACTTCCTTTGCCTGAAGGAGTCTGATCCTTCCCATAAAGGCTAACTTTTTTTTTTTTATGAAATAATCCTTTCAAATGAAAGTCTGTCCTTTAAATAAATGTCTAACCTGTAAGAAGATGAACAACCATTTTCATGAAAAGTCAATTTAATGGAGTCTGAAATATCAAGGTTAACATCACCCTGTTCTGATTCCATGTTGATTTTGTGAAGACAGTTCTCAGTCCTTTACCCCACCCTCCAATATCCACACATTCAGAATTCCATGGACTTGACCTTGGTCCAGATGTATTCACCCAAATAATTAAAGTAAGCCAAAATATCAAAAAACTATAGACAAGAAAAACACCTGCCTTAACATGTCAGGAATGAGCATTTCAAGATTACCCTGATCATTATCTAACTTTGATGTGAATTATTGTCTTTGTGGCTTTTCCCTTTAAAAATTAGGTATGCAAAGCTTGGTTTCCAAGAGATTTTTCAGAGGCATGAGACTATTGTGTATCTGACCATCAATAAAAAGTACTTAAAACTTTTAGTTGGCTTAATTAACATGGTTGTCTACCATTGTTTCCTGGAGTTACTATTAAGTCAATCCTTAAATAAATATTCAAACTGTACAAAAAAGTGTATCATTTGGATAAAATGCCAACATTTAATGCAGTCAAACCTTCAAATAAAAGGAAAAACAACGGGGTTGGGGATTTAGCTCAGTGGTAGAGCACAAGGCCCTGGGTTCCATCCTCAGCTAAAAAAAAAAAAAAAAAAAAAAAGGAAAAACAACAACCTTAAACAAAAAACTTGATTTGTTCCATAAAAAGTCAGTATTTGGATGAAGCGTTGATCATTCACAAAAGCCCCATCACCTGCATTAAGAAGATTCTTCTCACAAAAATCCACCTTTTGCTACCCCACTGCGGTGTCTGGACTTGGCTGCCCACAGAGGACCTGAACAAGGAGAACATGGATGGACATGCTGACCTGGAGGTGGGATGATCATGATGCCTCAGCCTTAGACAAAAATCACAGGCAAGAAAGGAACACTGAGGGTGTCTGGGAGGGGTGGTGGCACGGGCCTTTAATCCCTGCACTCAGGAGGCAGAGGCAGGCTGATCTCCTGAGTCTGAGACCAGCCTGGTCTACAGAGAAAGTTCCAGGACAGCCTGGGTTACACAGAGAAACCTGTCTCAGAAAACATCAGCTAACAAGCCAGCAAGACATCAAACAGCAACAACAACAAACAAAACAAGGAACTCAAGAGAAACAGCTTCCCCAGGGAAGAGCCCCAGTGGTTATCCAAGGCCAAGTCCTCAGCCTTGAAATCATATACACACAAGTGACACTGTACAGACTAATCAGGTTGTGTTTATATATTTAGTAATACACACAGCACACATGGATACCCACACAAAAATAACACATATATGTAGCAAATACAAAAAATCAAGGCATTACCATAGGGATACATAGAAAGGGAAGGAGGAAGAGAGAAAGACGGAAATAAAGCAATCAAATTCTAATTTCAAAATACAAATATTTTAAAAGCCAATCTTTTTTAGCCAAACTTGATGGCCCACACTTTTAATGCAAGCAACCTGGAAGCAGAGGCAGGAGGATCTGGGGGAGTTCAAGGAGACAATCCCCCAGCCCTCTAGCTCTGTCTCTCCAGGATGTACCCATCATAGCTTTGCTATCTGGTGGGTGGCATTCCATAAGTTCCATGGCTGACTCAGCTCCTCCAACATGGCCAATGCCAGTGAACATCATGCTGTCAGAGGCTGAACTACAAAAGCCAGTCGGCATGGGGGAAGTGTTCATCCTTGCTAGCCAGCTGAGGGAGGCACCAACATTACCCTGAGATTCCATCTTGTCCCTGTCAGAATGGTAATGGTGAGCATGAAGAAAGCAAAGGAGAACTAATGCTGGGGTGGAGGTGAGGAGGAGGTGTGGAGAACAGGGAGCCCTTGTGGACTGTCTGTCGGTGAGAATGTAAACTGTTTGGGTTACTGTAGGGGTTGGGATGGAGGATCCTCACAGAAACTAAGGAGAACTTCTGTAGGATGTTTGCCAGCTTTTGGTATTTACCTCAAAGACTTCAAGTCAACATGGCCTAGAGATACTTGTAAATCAGTGTTTCTTACAGCCCTGTTCACAAGTTGAGTGATGGAGCAACCTAGACATCCCACAAAGACAGAGAGGAGAAGAAAGCATGTTTTACAAACAGGATGCCATCAATTTCATCCGGAGGTAAGGATGAAGTATATGTCTTGCAGGAAGATGGATGAAACTGGAGGTAATCACATTGAGACAAAGAAGTCACTCGAAGAACAACAGGCCCTGCATGACTCTCATATGGGGCTCCTACATGTGGTGGAAATGTGAAATAGTGTATGTCCTGAATACATGAAGGAAGCTGTACAAA